ATAATGGTGACATACGAGGGTGTAATAGGATATGAAAAGCCATTTAACTTGTTAATACATATCATTAAGTGATGGAACCTCCAAACTGCCCGTGCCTCTTGCTGGTGAGGTCGTTGATTATATGTTCAAAGTCCGCGTGTTATATGGACTAAAAATGAAGTATATATATGTACCTCGCGTTTCATACCAGCTGGATTCAGTAAAATGCTACTGACACCACATAAGAGGCACGGGCAGTTTCCCAATGAGGTTCACGGCGCCATCAGCTCGATGAACAGGCTTTGTGTGAAATATAACAGAGTCTAGAACTGCTTTTAGTGTCCTTGTGGCCTAGCCGGTAAGCGTTCCCTAGTCCCACCCAGTAGGTCGAGGGTTCGATTCCTTGCTGGTGAGGTCGTTGATTATATGTTCAAAGTCCGCGTGTTATATGGACTAAAAATGAAGTATATATATGTACCTCGCGTTTCATACCAGCTGGATTCGGTAAAATGCTACTGACACCACATAAGAGGCACGGGCAGTTTCCCAATGAGGTTCACGGCGCCATCAGCTCGATGAACAGGCTTTGTGTGAAATATAACAGAGTCTAGAACTGCTTTTAGTGTCCTTGTGGCCTAGCCGGTAAGCGTTCCCTAGTCACACCCAGTAGGTCGAGGGTTCGATTCCTTGCTGGTGAGGTCGTTGATTATATATATATATATGATATATATATATATATATATATATATATATATATATATATATATATATATATATATATATATATATATATATATATATATATATATATATATATATATATATATATATATATATATATATAATTGCTTGTCATTTTCAACATGATAATCAATGTCAAATTATTGATGTTGAAGCTTATGGTGATGACTCTTCATATTGTAAATGTAGCACTGGACTAGACTTTAATTCTGGTATATCTTCAGCTTCCAGGATCTGGTGACTATGATAATGCCCCTTTGAGACAACTGGACAGCCAGCGTACCAGACAAAATGTTGACCATACAGCTGGCGCCAGTGCTAATACTCAGGTACAGGTGAGAAAATGATCATTGCTAACATATCCCATACAATTACAGTGTTAAGTGTACATTATCATCGCTACAAATACAATTAGGTTTTCAAATTTCATCATGATCAGAGATATAAACATGAGGTGACCTTATGGTGTCCAGTACAGTACAGTACAGTAGTTTACTTCATTTATTAGGGGGTGTGTTGCTTGACAGAGAAAACACCCATTAGAATTCCTTTGTCACAAGAGGTAACAAAAATACAGGGACAGGATGGTGACGTGCTGCTTTGTATAAAAAGTCATAGTTCTGTGTAGCTGAATACAGCAATGAATTATTGCACCAAATTTATTTTGCATACATTTATAAAGTTTCTTTGTGTTTATATATTTTGGTAGGTGAGTGAATATATTGCATGGAGGACTGAGCGCCTGAATGGTAACTTACGGTCAAGCAGCCTTCCTGGTCATACAACTCATCCACCCGGTCAAGAAGACAACTCATCGTCCACCGAACGTCTTCATCCCACACGTAGTGAAGGTACATCCCCCCCCCTCCTTTTTTATTGTAAGACAGAATATTTATAAAAGTATTCTATGGCATTCTTCCTTCCATGATATTTCTGCTCCAGTAACTAGTTTATTGTTCATTATAACACAGATGTAAAAGCTAATTGTTGTACAGTATGAATTATCATCAGAGGAATTAAGAGCTTGGTAGAAATTGAGAAAGGTCTATAAGAAAGATAATTGGGAAATTAAGAATAAAAAATAAAAAGCAATGTTTTATTTAGATATCACATTAGCCTCTAGAACTGAGGGAGCCTTTCACTTCCATGGATTTAGTTGATTGCCAATAGTCACTTCTTAAATAGACCAGGCATTAGAGGGGTTGAATGTAATATTCCTCTGTTCAGCCTAAAATATTATTATATTCTGTAATTGTCCACCTTCTTATATCTCTCTGTGTATTCCACCTTCACAGTTCCATGATTTAACAGGTAAAGAATTTTTCTTTCTCTTTCTCAAATAAAAATTTATTTTGCATAGAGGATTTACCATAAATTATAATTTTTATAGTGAATTAATTATTTATGTGTAGAATATATTTGTGTATTGTTCAAACCTGACAACACCAGGGAGTGCGGGTTTTCTATGGTACATGAACAAAATTGCAATGCATGGACAATGATGCAAATATCAGTTCACAGACCATTTATGATAATTATGAAGTGGACTGTATTATGAAGCAATGGGTAAACCAAGTAAATATTATGGGGCATTGTTGTGGAAGGGAAACACCACAGCAGAATGCATTTGTTACTGCAGTTAAAGAATAAATGAAGGGACAGGTTGTATTATATGCTTTTGATTATGGCCCCTGGTTTGTACAGTACATTACTGTATTACCCCGCTTTACATGGTTTCACTTTCTGCGATTTCTCATTTACGCGGTAACTTGCCAGAACCAGACTTTCACTTTCCGCGGTGCATCTACTCATATATGCGGTGAAGTATAATTTTTTTTTTTTTTTTTAGCTCATAAAATTCATACAAATTACCCGGCCAGAATATAATTTACATTGTTGGAATTCTTATAATATGATGATCATTTTGAATATAAACATCATGGATTTTGCATTAGACATACAAATTTTAGATCTAATGTAATAATTTGGTTTACACAAAGCAAATATTTTATCCTTTGTGCAGAATATATGAAGTTTACATTCAAAATATTCCCTGACCTGCAAGGAATCCACAAATGTCAATTATATTATCCTAACTTTAGTCTGAGTTATTATTTATTACTAAAAATGTAAATATACTATTTTCTCCCAATCACTTCTCTGGTAGGGAGGGAGAGAGGGAGGGACCACCCAGCTAGGGCAGAGTATTTTGATTGACAGATAGTGTCCTTGAAGAATATTTCTTTGTTTATTTACTGAAGATATATGTTTTAGCTCATAAAATTCATACGAATTACCCGGCCAGAATATAATTTGCATTGCTGGAATTCTTACAATATGATGATCATTTTGAATATAAACATCATGGATTTTGCATTAGACATACAAATTTTAGATCTAAAGTAATAATTTGTTTACACAAAGCAAATATTATCTTTTGTGCAAAATATATGAAGTTTACATTCAAAATATTCCCTGACCTGCAAGGAATCCAGAAATGTCAATTATATTATCCTAACTTTAGTCTGAGGTATTATTTATTACTAAATGTTAAAATCTAGAGTTTCACCCACACATTTATCTGGTAGGGAGGGAAGGTGGGGGGAGGGTTGGGATGGACCAACCCAGCTGGCGTGAGTGTGAGGAGGGGGGAGGGGGGCAAGGTGGGGTACTTTGATTGACAGATAGTGTCGTGAAGAATATTTTTTTTTTTTATTAACTGAAGATATATGTTTTAGCTCATAAAATTCATACAGTTTCACGAATTTCCTTCTCCCGAATCTTAATGGACCTCACGCTTGTTTCGTTGCGTCCGTACCTCCGTGCCACAGCAGCGACCGACATCCCGCCTTTTATTCAGTCCTAAGCGGCCACTTTTTCTTTCAAGTTCATCACAGAGCATTGTTTCTACACTGGAGGACCAGAGGCAGAGGTTGGCTTGTGTTTAGGCATTATGAATGAGTATGAGAGAGGTTGAAGCGCACTAAATTGACACACACGAGAGGCAGGTGTTCCTCCAACAGTACCCATGTGGCTACTGAAGACAGAGAGGTGGGATGGCGAGGGTGGAGCCTTGGCGGACTAGCATTTAGCGCTCTTACGACCAATTTGGAATATTTTGGGTTTGAAATTGGAAATTGTAACCTAACCCCTAGGGTAATTCGCGTATTGTTGAAACCGCGTACGAAATATAGGGTAAGTTGCGAGTCTACTGTACAAATAAATAATAATGGGATAATACTCTCACAAGTAATCAGTAAAAATTTATTAAAAATGTGACAGTCTACCCTCAAGTCCATGCTTTATTAACCATTACGCCCCAGGCTAGAGTGTTACCAGCTATACCCTCCACGCAGGGTAAATGCCGAGATATATAAAATTATCCGGGAAAATCTCGGCATATCTGGCCACCTGTGTCACCTACCATGCCTCTGTGTCACCTACCATACGTCTGTGTCACCTACCATACCTCTGTGTCACCTACCATACCTCTGTGTCACCTACCATACCTCTGTGTCACCTACCAAACCTCTGTGTCACCTACCATACCTCTGTGTCACCTACCATACGTTTGTGTCACATACCATACGTCTGTGTCACCTACCATGCCTCTGTGTCACCTACCATACGTCTGTGTCACCTACCATACCTCTGTGTCACCTACCATGCCTCTGTCACCTACCATGCCTGTCACCCACCATGATCTGAGTCACCCACCATGCCTTGTGTCACCCACCATGCCTCTGTCTCACCCACCATGCCTTGGTGTCATCTACCATACATCTGAGTCACCCACCATGCCCTGTGCTCACCCTACTGTGTCACCCACCATACGTCTGTGTCACCCACCATACCTGTGTCACCCACCATACGCCCAGGTCACCTACCATACCTCTGTGTCACCCATGCTGTGTCACCTAATTACACATGCCAGTGTCACCTACCATGCCTGCTGTCACCTACCATGCCTCTGTGTCACCCACCATACCTGTGTCACCTCCACCTTGTGTGTCCTCTGTGTCACCTACCATGCCTCTGTGTCACCGTACGTGTCACCACCACCTACCTCTCACCCAACATGTGGCCACCACCATGCCCTCACCCACCATACCATCTACCATACCTCTGTGTCACCTACCATTCCTCCGTGTCACCTACCATGCCTCTGAGTCACCTACCATGCCTCTGTGTCATCTACCATACCTCTGTGTCACCTACCATTCCTCCGTGTCACCTACCATGCCTCTGAGTCACCTACCATGCCTCTGTGTCATCTACCATACATCTGTGTCATCTACCATACATCTGTGTCATCTAGTAGTATGATGCTTCATTCTTCATTAGCAGTGCTGGTAAGCGTTACTTCTTTACATGTACAGTACACACTGTATATGGGTCGATAATTATTTATTGTTGTATTTTTGTAGGGGGGGTGGGGGGGGGTGCCTTGATATGTCGGAATTTGGGATAACTTGGCAAGGCCAGAGCCTCATAAATGTCGAGTTATCGAGTGTTTACTGGGAAGCAAATATCCACCAATCACGTCTGTCGTTACACGACCAATACCCATTCATCAAAAATAGTGATACTTGTACTGCTGTATTGCTATTTGGAGACACGGGTTACCACAGGGGGTGTAGGAACACATTCCACAACTGTACCTAACCCTTGAATTATGAAGACTCCACTGCATTCTACAACATTTTACCCATTTCTTAAATTACACACACGACATAATTTTACTAATTTTTTAAAACCCTTAAGTATTCCCGTTAAAAACACCGTGTTCGCTACATAAATGAGTGTTGGTAGCGATATGTTGTACACTGATAAGAAATATATGACGGTGGAACTCATACTGAGACACGTGCCGTGTGACACACATGCACAAACTTTCAACCACATGTACAAACACACTAACTGTCTAGACTGATGCTGAATTTTTCACACTTTTTAAATATTTTTGGTGAACAGAGGGGCTGTTCGGAGTACCTCAGTGAGTCCGAAAATTATTGTTTAACCCTTTGATATAATTTTGCCATGAAAGAAATGTAAGTACCCCACTACAGTAGTTTTTGTCTTCAAAAACCCTGTTAATTATCATTATAGCATACATGTACTGTATCTGGTTGTATGGAGCAGTATTACGCACACTATACATCCACAAGGACTATTATGATGATAAGTACTGTACACTGATATCCTCATTAGCCAGAACAATTGGTGCAAAGCACTTCTAGGAATTAGAGATTTCCGTGTAACGAGACGTCTCTCTCAAACCTGGAAAAAATCCTCCCATCCCCAGAATTTTTCTGGGTACTGGGAAAAGTTTCTCAGGATTTTCCGGAAATTTTGCATTATTTCATCCTTGGAATTTGCTCCCCGACCCGGGAAAAAAAATTGGAGAGTTTCCTGAATTTTTCGAAAATGCGCCTGATTATCGTCCTCGGAATTTGTTTCCAAACCCGGGAAAGAAATTTTTAGAGAGTTTCCGGAATTTTACAGAAAATGCACCTGATTTTCAACCTCGGAAAATTGTTCTCAAACTCAGAATTGAAAGAAATTTTCCACAAAAATTCCGAGCAAAGAGGGATTCCAACGAATGGAGATATTACTATTGTCCATAATTTACCTAATTTATGCTGAAAATGTAAAGAGAAATCTTGGTGCAGTTTTTTTTACATCATCATGTGTGTATCATCTGGTGTGGGATGGATGTATCCACAGTATGGTGGGCACCTTGAGATGGCTGCACATACTAGGGTTTAGTGTATTCCATGGGAATCATAGAAAATGGAAGTTGGCTGGAGATAAGGGAAAACATTTTTTTTTGTGACTGTAAGCTACAGTC